TCACCAGGTAAAATATAAGCCACAACATAAAAGTACATATGTATTTTTTTTTATTTGTGTGTGTGTGTGTGTGTGTGTGTGAGTGTATGATAACACTTTAGAAACCTAGTCCTTTGGGATACTGAAAAGCTTTATATTATTTCTAAATCAGTATTTACCAAGGCAAAATATATGGTCTCAATGAAATGAGTCCTACTGTATCTAAGGTCTCATTTGCCATATGAAAAAGTCCAAAATGTGAAGTATATATTTCCCACTGAATGGCTCACCAGGCAACTTGAGCTTAGTTGTTTCTTTTGAGGAATACTATATATGTTATAATAAAGTTATGTTTGTTGTATCGCCAGACTCACATCATCCTGTAGCAATGCAAAAAGACTAAGGGGAGGTCATTAGTAAAAGGTTATTTGCTTATAAAATTTTAAAATAGTTGTACTAAAATGATTCTGTTTGGATAACAAAACTTTCAGTGTCCCATATGATCTCAGCAGTGTGCTCCTACATTTCCCCTTTTTTGCCTGCACCTCTGTTGGGTTGTGTTGGGAGGGGGCCAACATCTGGCTGCCAAACGGACAGTGCTTTCCATGAATGTCCTTCACAAACCCGGGCATGGAAAGGAGAAGCAGAAACATTCTATTTCTTCCAGTTCTAGGTCTGGATTTTATTAGGCCACTGCCTAATTTCACTAGCTGTACTTTAACTTAGGTATAACTTTGGGATAAGATTTGATGAGTGTTCATTTTCCTTAATTCTAAAGGACATATTACAAATTTTAAGTCAATAAGATTAATTAAAAAGTATACTTTTGTTTCAGTCATATATATTCGATGTCACATATATGTGTATGCATATGTATATCTGTGTGTGTAAGCATATCGAAGTATACACAGACACACACAAACACAGGACAGTGGACAAACTAGGTATAGGCCCTGACAGTAGAGAGCCCTCACATTAGTTATAATTATCTACAGTTGGGATCATAACTTAAAATACATTGAATATGTGCACTGAGCCAGAACTTACAGGGTTGGTTCGGTTATCCTTTTAGGTCCTAGGATAGCTGCAACTAGATCATTCACTGTGCTCAAGATTTCTCTAGTGCCACTGCCCTTTGACGACCAAAGCTTACAGCTTATCCAATGTAATTATCTGCTATGTAATGCAATTTGATGGCAAATTTTAGCAACTGTGTAATGGTGGGTTTTGTCAACTGAGAAGTGATAATAAATGGGTTCACAGATTCACTTTTGAAGCCACATTGTATAACCTTCTCTCTAGTCAAAAGAAGAGGTTGGAGCAGTAACAGAGGCTCTTTCAAAAAGGAGATCACTAGCTGCACCTGACATATTTTTGTGTTTTCCCCTTTTCTCCCAAACCATACAGAAATGCTATACTGAAATTTCAAAAACATGAACTAGGCTATAAGTAAAAGAATGAAAAAGAACTTCAGTTATGAGGGCAAACTAACCTTGGATTTCTATTTTATAAAGTGAGGTTAATATCTGCCAGCCCCTTTTTTTTACACATGGCAGGTAGGTAAATAGATAGGTAGATAGGTAAATGATAGGTGAATAAAGGAACAAGTGGATAGACAGATGGCTAGATGGTTGGATGGCTAGATGGGTAGACAGATGATAGAATAATCAGAACTACATCTACAAGACCAAGACAACACCACATTGCAACTTATTGAGTGTTTACTATGACAAGCATTTATCTCATGTAGTAAGCTCATTTAGCCTTCACCCAATGAAGTTGGTACAATCACTATCTTCATTTAACGGAGCAGGAAAGTGAGTCTTAGGAATTTATAGAATTTGGCCAAGATTGTAAACTTCAAAGTTCAAACCCAAGACTTGAACCTAAGATTCTGGAGGCTGTGAATGGCATTCCTGCCTGTCTCTGTGAGCTACGGGTAAACAAATCACATAAATGGGGAGTTTTATTCTCCCCACTGCAGTATCCTATAAAAATTCTTTCAACTTACCGGTGGGCAAAATAGATACATGAGGAAAACTGAACTCATGAGCTCCTTCCCAAGCCAGTAGTTCATTTTCAAACACTATGTTGTTGTTGTTGTTTTTTAATGAGCTGATTGAAACCAGAATTTAAATATATTTAAAGTGTGCATTTAAAACTCCCCATTTATTTCAATAAAATAAGTTACAACTTTAATTAAATATATCTAGTTAAAAATAAATTATTAAAAATAAAAAATGTGAATGGCCAAAAATGTTTATGGTTAAGAGAATGTGCTATAGTGTTTGTAGATCCTATCCAAGCCTTCTATGTTCTCCCCTGAAGTTAAAAAAAAAAATGTTAAGAAAGGAAATATGACATTTGCCAAGGTGTGAGAGCTGGGGAATAAAGACACATCTCCAGCAAATTCTGAAGACAGTCGGTCACTAAGCTTCGGTTGGAAAGGGAGTAATTGAACAGAGAGCTGCAGGACTGAAGTGTTTGGGGCCGAGGGAAGAAGGTGGGAGAGTTCCGTGGAGGAGAGAAGTGGCTTCTGAAAGCTGTCTGGTCTGCTTTCAGAAGCCCAGATTCTGAACAATCCTGGCCTGGCTTGGGTAAGCTTGTAAATGGTGGAGTCACCGATGGAGGGATACAGGAAGGGAGAAGGACTCGGCTGGTCCCAGCCAAGGCGGTCGCGCAGCAGGAGGCCCGAGCGCCGGGTGCCGCGGCGCCGCGGGTCACCTACCGTGAGAGGCGCTCCAGCGCGATGGAGGCCGAGTCCGAGGGGCGGGCAGCGTCCAGCCCGCTCCCAGCCACCGCGCCTCGCCAGGCCGACCGCGTCCGCCGCTTCTTCTTTTCCTGTTCCTTGCGTTTTCCAGGCTTGCCTTTCTTTTTTTTGCCGGGTGTCTTCAGGGGCTGCTCTTTGTACGTCTCCACCTTGTTGGTTTCCTGAGTTAGGTATCTGCCCTCGTCGTCGGACCCAAATCGCACCGGGTGGTTCTTTGTGTTAGGAGCAGGCTTGGAGTTGGGGGACATCTCCGAGGTAGCTCTGATTTCCGCCGTGTGGATTTCTGCGATCAGGTGGTGAAGGAAGAACCGTCGCCGCAGGTCTTGGATGGACTTGCCCTTGTCATGGAGGAGCTGATGTTCAGACACGGCCCTTTTGCTTTAAAGGAAAAAAAAAATAGCAGGAGAGGAAGTGAACAATCAAGGTGTAGCCATCGATAGAGACCACGCAGGAAGACAGGAGGAAAAAGCCCTTTCTTTTTCCAGTTCAGAGGTCAGGGTTGGCCTCCTGCTGGCTGAGTAGGTGACGTAGGTGGGAACATGGGCACCCCAGGCCACATGGGCCCCCTGTGCTTACTAAGAAGGGATTGGATCCAGCGATTTCCATATTCCCATCTCAATTAAGATATGTTTTAGTTGTTCTCAGAAATGTGCCAAAATGCACTGAGCTGCTTTTTACCTTTTCCAGAGTTCTGGTGGGGAAGTAATTCCAGAAGTCCTAGCCCAAGAGATTGGTTTTACCAGAGTACACACACACACACACACACACACACACAAGAGCACACACACACTAGAGTACACACACACACACACACACACACACACTGCTCCCTGCTAAGAAAATAACAAAATACTGAATCTCAGAGACCAGCATGTCCTAAGAGTATTGACTGAAGGCTGAGGTGAGCAACAAAAGCTCTCTAGAGGCTGATAGGCTCTGGGTTTCCAAGGACTTTACATCTAAAGGCCCACTGTTAAAACAGTTTGCATCTTTAGGTAAAGTAGTCAGATTCTATGAAATTGTGCATTTAAGTGAGATCACTCTAGTTCTTTAGTGCTTCAAGTTTTTATTGCTAGTTTTTGAGTTTAGAATTTCAGAGCGTATTATCTTTTTTATTTAATTGAAAAATTCACTTTTCTACTCTTTCTTTGTGAAATATCTCTAGGAACAGAAGTGAAATGACTTTTTTTTTCTTCTATTCAATCAAGTCTCTAATAAAAATATAGTGAAAAAAATTAATCCTGAGCATTCTTTTAGCTGGCTTTCTGACACTGGCTTAAATGCCCATCCATGTATTCCTTTTTTATGTTCTGTGTATCTTACCCACATTGAAAGCTTGCACATATGAATCAAGTCTATCTGGCTTGCTTCAACACTGCTGTTGTTCATCCCCTTGACTGCTGTGTTCCCTGATAGCTCCTTAGAAAGCTAATCCTCTTCCTCCAATAACTCCCTCGAGTGATTTCCACAACTGAAAGCTCTACACTGAAAAGAAACCAATGTTCAAAACTCTTCAGAGGTATTTCTCAGGGCTCATGCTCCCCCAGCACAGTGGTGTCTGAGTCCGCCATTGCTTTACGAGTGCCAATTCTTTAACTTCTCAGAATTAACTGGACAATTGTAAATAGCTTTCTCCTCATTGTGTAGATGAAAGAGTCAAGTATGGCGATGCCTCACTCCATGAGGGCAGGCACAGTCAAGATTCCAGAAACTAGGCCTCCTGATTCTAAAACCAAGGTGACTCTTCCACATTCTCCACCCCTTCTTTGCTAGGATGGGGTGCGTGTTCAGGAAACACCCCTGCAGTGGGATCTGATAGTTCACCCATGGTCAGGAAGCTATGAATCTCCTGGAAGATCAAGCTGTTGTCCTCACCTCCAAGAAGTTCATTTTCATCACTAAAACAAGCACATAGGATTCCTAGAGAGTGGGTTATCATGGGGGTGGGGAGGAGAAAGGGTGAGATGAGAGATTGTCTAGTTAGATTGTGAGACAAAGGAGCAGACATGAAAAGACTGTCATTACTTCTCTTGACCTTATACCCAGAATGCTGACCTCTTTTGGGTATTTTAGCATGTGGACTGACTTTACAGCTACTGACTGTAGCTGTGTAGTTGAAAAAAGACACGAGTTAATGGAAAGAAATTTAACAGGAGCTGGGCTGAAATGAGGTATGAAGGATTCACTCTTCTTTTCGAAGGTGCCACATGTGACCAGGTTAAAAATCACTTACTTTTTGGCAATAGCACTCTAGAAAACTAACAATTTACATAAGGGAGGATTTGATACAATATATTTATATTCTTTAGTGACATTTTTTAAAAGAATAGGGAATATATACTTAGATATTTCATAAGCACTGCAGTGAAATAATACTTTTAGCAAAATGTCACGTTAAGACATACTTAGCCTCTCATTTATAGTATGGAGAACTTTTCTTTCTTTTTCAACTCTAGGCACACCTCCTCCCCATCTGTATCGCTCCACAACTGTATAATTAATATAGCCTATTCTCACTTAAGTCAAAGCCAGAACTTTTAGTGGGTGGTCTGTTGTAATCACTGCCCATGCCCCAGGACATGCATATATGCCTGTCAGTGAGTCACAGTACCCCCTTAACTCAAGCTCTGCACTTTCCCAGATGGCTTTCCACTCCCTTAGGGAATGGAGTCATTCTCCTATTTTAGAAGAAGCCTACAATATATGGCCCAACTTTGTCCAGTTTAAAATAGTACCTCTCTTGGGAGGTGCCAAGAATGCTTTCTGCGTGGTAAGGGGAATTTCCTACTTAGGAGCATTTTCTATATGCTATGTATGAAATATTGTTAGCTAATTTGCTTCATCATTCAAAGATACCTATATTTAAAATATAAAGAAGAATGAATTTTGGATTGGACAGCTACCCGAGAGGGGGCAGGATTATAATGGCATCTTTGTGATAAACACGGAATAAGGCCATAGAAGGTTCTATATACTTTCAGAATAGACAGGAACTGACATAAGGATAACTGAGTGGCTCATAGAAACTGGATAGACGTAGGTGGTGACTAATAAATTCAAATTCAAGAGGCTTTCCATTCAGACAAATGTGAAATATTTAAGTTGTAAGTATGGCTTCAATGATAGCCCATTACTCTATGTCTGCAAGCACGAGCTAGCACAGCCTCTCACATGGCATAAATTACATATCTAAGCTCCAGCAGGGAAAAATAAGAACATTAATTCATACTCTTCTTTGGTTATTATTTTAAAAAATTGCAGAAATACAGGGGAAATGCAGACAAAAGTAAAGGCTGTCAAAAAGATATAGCTATTTAGCTTTAAAGAACAATGACTCTCAAGGGACTTTTCAGGAGGAGATTAAATTTCTAAGACGCTCTCAAGGAACACAGGGAAAACGCGGAGGGCTGGAAATTCCTCCTCCAGTCCAGGCTGAACTAGCAGCAGACTTGCGCTGCTGTGAGGCTCCACAAGAAGGAGCCTGGGTTTGAGGAGAAAAGTTCTGTGGCACACGGAGGAGCCAGGGTTAGGGTGTTAGAGTTAAGATGACTCACAGAAGTCCCTTCCAGTCCCAATGACTCAGTTGAAAGTTATGCTCTTCATTAAGTGGAAAGGACCCAGGCTGCCTCCCCAGCAAATCAGTCAGTGATGTTTTAGGTTTCTGAATCTGCCGGAGTTCCCATTTCAGTTTACACACAAAGGTAGCCACCTGCTGAAAGCTATGCTCATCTGCACAGAAGCACCCATAAACTGCACTTTCCAACCTCCAACATGTCGTGAAAGCAACTCTAGCTGCCTTCAACAGAGGCTTCTACATTCCCAGTCCAAAGGATGGACAGCTGATCACTGCCTCCTTTGCAATGCTCTTGCTGTAATTTCTGTCCCCTGAAAAATGAGTCCCTAGTTAGCAAAACTTCTAAAGCAGTTTCTCCTAATACTTGTTGTGAAAAGTAATTAGGGAGGAGTATGATTTGATTATATGTTAAAATTTCTTTCAAGAAACTCAGTGGATTTAGCGTAATAGTAGACTGATGTTTTGTCTAGCACACAAAATGTACTGGCAGAAAAGCAGAAATAATGACTTGTTTTTTTCAACTCCATTTGGCTGCAATAATTTGATGAAACATCTTCATCAACTGATGATTTCAGCCTCTGTGAAAAACCAGGATTGTAATGTGATGATCTATTAGCCATTAGCTATAAGAATGTTTTGTGGTAGTTTTAAAACCGTCTGCTGAGTGTGAGTGTTTAACTACAATATTACATTTCACCCACAAACAAAACTATAACAGAGACTTTGGCTGCTAAATGGGTTCTGATGCTCACTTTGCAAGGTGCAACAAAGAAAGAGTTAAAAATAGCCTTCAGAACAACTTAGCACTATTTTTATGCCTTAACTGTGGATTTAATCATGGTCCATTTACTGTTTCTCAAAAGAGAAAACAGGTATTTCTTAAGCAACTTTAAAGAAAAAAATTGGCTCTGTTCCAATACAGTATTTCTCAGCCAAATAAATACAGTATGTAAGTGTGCTTTTAAGAATCCAGTCCTCATCTGTATTTACCTATGGATCTTAAATAATTGAATTTAATATAAATCTCAAAATGAGCAAAAAATGAGTATTTCTTCAGAAATACATCAGCAAAATGTTGATTTGAAGAGTACAATGCAGCTTTATCTGCAGTACAATGTTCTACACAATTTGCCTTAGGAGATTCATAATAGATTTTCATTTTGCTGCCAAGGTTCAGACATGTCTAAAGTAATTTCATTTAAGGATTTTCTGCTCTAATTAATAATAGACCAAGGGCACATATAAAACAGTTGCCTTTCTGTATCCCCTTGGGAATTTACAAGGAAGCACCAGGAACAGTACTGTAAATATTAGATATTGCTCTCTTTATTGTCAATGTAAAAGTTCTCTTTACTTCCTTCTCCAGAGGCAAACTCTTCTCAGTTTTCAAACTTTATGCTTTTTCCATCCCCACAGGGAGCAGCTTCAGGATCGCCCTGAGGTGTGTTACACACATGAATGCATTGTGTCCAACAGATAATTTAGATAGTGAAACTCTCCCACAGTTTCTACTTCTCAGTCAATACCTCTAGTAACATTTGTCTAGTGGTCTCGCTATGATTATTTTAAGGTCAAAATTATCCTTAAAAGAATCACCAAGTGAGAATGCTGAAAGACAAGTTTTCATTCTACCATGCAAATATTTAACTCCAGCTTAAAGAACTGTTAGCAGTCACTCCAAGGGGAAAAAAAGTTTCCACACCTATTAGCCCTGTTGGGATTTAGCTCTCTAGCGTCCCCGAAAGGTATTGATACTAACCTTGGCCTGGTGCCATTTGCGAAGTTGTTACTACTTTATTATATAATATGCCTTCATTATGTAATGTGGCCCTACTTTATATACCTAAAATTATGTCATTCATAATAAAATTAGATGTAAGGTTTTCGCTTTTCACACAGCAACTGCCACCCACATTCAATATGTATACAAGCACGCCCGGGACAAATGTCCCCAGCATCCCCAGGCTTCCTCCTAGCTTTCCGAGTCTCTCGGACTCCGCCGGGTTTCTAAAGCCTTCCTGGGTCCTGAAAGGAACCTTTTTCTTTCAGTACCGGCAGAGGATATTTGCTCAGAAGAGTTTCTGTAAAACGCTCCCTCTTACGGAAACTCGCGTGAAATGTGTCTGTCGCCTCTCTGCTCTGGAAGTTCAGCCAGTTCTCCCGCCGCGGGGTTTGAGGACCCAACCTCATCCCTGCCTCAGGTAGCGGGATCTCCCGCTGGCTAACACCAGAGGGGAGCATTCGGGACTGCCGCGAGCCCTCAGCGGGGCACCAGCCAGCGGCCCTCTAGCCCGGACCTCCCCAACCCTCGCCCGGCGCCCCGGGGAGGCCGGGGCACTTACAGCCGTCGGCCGAGCTCCTCCACTGAGCGCCCGCAGGAGGGCACGGAGTAGCTCAGCAGGAACACTGCGACGCTCCACTGGTGAACCAGCCTCCGCAACATCGTCTCAGCTGGCTCCCAGGACCTGCAACGGAGAGCAAAGGGGTCGAAATGTCAGTCCGGAGGCCACATCTCCTCCCCGCGCGGCCCCGCGCCCCTGTTAGTGTGCTCTCAAATGGCCTTTCCAACATCCAGGGCATCTCCCAAGTTGCAAAGAAAAAAAAAAAAAACTTTCTCTGGAGCCTCTCAGCACTTACTTATTTAGGAACCAGCTACTCCAACTGTGCCTTTTCCAAACCACACAGGCAAAAAGGACCAAAAAGGAAAGAAAAAATCGGAGACGCTTCCCCTGAAATAATAACTCAAGTGAAATGGTTTGCTATATGCATCAAGGATGCGTCGCGAGTTTACACGTCTCCCATAGCAATGTCTAATGACTCTGGCCGCAGTTCTCTTGGGTGCGGGGAGCAGGGCTAACCCCTTCCCCAACAGAGAAGAAAGTTTCCCCTCCGAAGTCAGCTTCTGTGCGCACTGGGCCACGGGTTCCTCAGCCACTTGTAGCAAGACCCACATATATATACATAGCTGTCTGTCTACCTCCTCTGGTGGGTTGTTGCTTCCGGAAAGTTGATTCCACACACCCTGAGAACAAGTTTCAAGTGCGTGTGTCGTCGATCAGGATGGCCAGGTGGCCACGAGGGCGGGCTCAGGCGGCGTGGAGGGGCGGCGGCGGGCGCGCAGTGCGACTGCGGCGCGTTTCACTGGCGGGGAGGCATACTGGCCGGGCTGCGCAGGTTGGAGGCGAGAGCAAAGCCGAGAGAAGGAATGTTCACACGCTCCGGGGCAAACCTGCTGGAGAAGTGAGCTAGTCGCAAAGAGGTGGCGCCCTAGGAACGCGCGCCGGGCGAGCGAGGGCGCGGGCGCGCGGGGGGCGGGGGCGGCGACAGGCGGCCGAGCGGGCCCGGGGGAGCCCGGAGCTGGAAATGCGCTGCAAGTGCCGGCGCTCTCCGCGGCCCGCCGGCTCTTAGCCTTGTCGAACCCCACCCGGGAGCGCGGGCCCAGCAGCTCCATCCCCGGCCGGGGGCGTGAGACCCGCCGCTCGATCCCGTCCCGTCCGGCTCTTGCCCTCGCGCGGATCCGGGAGCCTAGGCCCCCGAGTTTCGCGAGGGCTAGAGGACTACCCGGGCAGCCGCCGCCTCCGACTCCCCGCTGAGCAAACGGGCGCCGCGGCCGCCGGGGGCGGACTGGCGAAGGAGGAGGCCGAGGAACCCGGCCCGGGAGCGAGGGCGACGGCATCCTCCGCCTGCCTGGACGCTCGGAGAGCCAGAAGAGAGCAGCGAGAGGGGAGTCCTCCTCCCTGGCCCTGGCTCGGGACAAGCCGAGTGGGGCGCGTCGACTAGGGAGGGGGAGCTGCTTCACTTCGAAGAGTAAAAACGCTTTCAGACTCCAGATCGAAGTGGCATTTCTTGCTGTCTCAGAACCGCTGAGGTCCTCTGGAGCAGGTCCGAGGAAACCCAAGCGCACCACCGAGACCCCTTTTGGATTGCGCAAAGGGATCCGTACTCCTGCGCACCTCACCCGGCTCTTTCGCCCTCAGGCAGGGGTGGAAGTCACCCTTTCCCGGAGAGCCTATTTCGTGCCCCCCCCCCTCCCGCCCCAGTCCCCTGTTACATATTCTAGAAGGATTCTAGCCGTGTCGCTTCAGCGCGCAGATGCAACGGAACCCCCACTGCATGCTGCTTTGCTTCGGAGAAGCGAAGGGAAAGCAGGGGATTCTTCCCAAAGCTGTTGGGCGGGGAAGCAAGACTGCTGTGAATTACTGGGCAGTATCAGCTGGGAAAGGATTGCAGCGGATGTGAACACCCGCCCAACCGGCTCTCTGTCTTTTCTGCAGTGAACGCGGGCGGTTCTTCAAGAGATGTTTGACCTCTAGACAATCCCCCTGGTAGGTTTCATTACTCTCTCGAAGGCTAATGGGGTAGATATTGGAGACGATGCAGGGAGCCTGACTTGTATCACGCCTGACTTTCTGGCTGATGCTCTTCAGATTTGACCCAGGATGAGGGAAATAGCGCCCCCTTACCGACCCTTGCTTAGCTCGCCTAGCTTTCCCCCCTCCTTAACTGCAGCTCGCTAACTAGCAGTGTGCAGCTTGCTTTGGTTTGGGGCTACTCCTTTTCAGAAGCGGCTGTATCCCTCATCTGATTACTTTCAACTCCATGCTTTGAAAAACTTGGCTTCCACCACTACCAAAAAAAAAAAAAAAAAAAAAAAATCTCAGGGAATTTCCACAACTTCCCTTAAAAGTTAGACCTGTTAGCATAGCATGAAAAGACAAAGCATCAACATTCAGAAAAGTCTACCTTTGAACCTCTAACACTCTGATTTATAATAAATTCTTTCCAAAAAGACGCAGGGACCTTAATGTAATCGTTAGATCTGGAGGGGGAATCTGTAAAACAGGAGAGCACAAAAGAGTCATTTAATACTTGCAAGTTGTTTTAACGTAAAATGATAATAACATTTGCTGCAATAACAACAAAGGTACTTAGCCAAATTTCAAATTATCCAGATTTTAAAATGCAAACCCTCCCCCAGTAGAAGATTAAAGATTAAAATCGAGTTGAAAATATTAAGTCACTCATGCTGTAAATAAATTCATTATATTCACAGAACATTACCAAGACTGGCATCAATAATAGCTTTGATTTATATTGCTCTTTCTAGAAAGTAAATAAAGTTGAGTCCTTCTCCCTCCCTTCCCCATCTTTTTTCTTTCCCCACACACTTTCCTGGTGTTATGGCAAAACATCTATCAACTATTTTTAGAATTCCCTCTCCTCAAAAAAAAAAAAAAAAGAAATAATAGAGAAAAAAAATAGCCTTATATTGTGGAATACCATCGTTTCCTCATAATTTATGACTTCACCTTTTCCTCGATTTGGTCTTCTCTGTTCTTCTCACCAAAGAGGGAGATCTTTTTAGTGGTCTATCCCAGAAATCATCTTTTGGTCTGTTCTTCAAAAAAGTAAAAATAAGTCTTAAATAAACTGAACACTTCCTTCAGGAGCCTTTTCTGTTCGAGCCCAAGGTAATTATTAGAAGCAGCTACCTCTTTCCTATGCTTCCCACCCTGTCTGTTACCTGTAGCAGAAATCCTCCTCAATATATATATACCCAGGCCCTCACTTTTTACCTTTCTGAAAAGGATATTTTCTGACATTGTAATCTAGTTCTCAATCTAACTGAATCATCTCCATGATGATGTAGTGGACATGTGACTGCAAATGAGATGATTCCACACTGGGAGCCCTCCCTCCTCCTCGGGTTTAGGATTTGAACAAGTGCCAATAGGGCTGACATTTTGCTGAGGCCTTGATATCAGGTAAATGCACCTTACCAAACAGGAGGATTGGCAGGCCTGTCTTGAACCTGAAGTCTTTCCATATGAAGACAGTTAGCACTGTGAGGTCTCCGCCTACACACATGCCTAGCCCATGAGCCAGCCCAGACTTCATTTTCCCACCCCAGTCAGTGTCAGCATTGGATCCCACTTGGTAAAAGAGATTTCTAAAAATTTCAGGCCACTTTCACTCATAAATTCATGTTTAAATAATCACTTGATGTGCATCTCCAGAGATATCTCCTCTGGCAATTTAGAAAAAATAACTAACACCTATGTTTAATTTCCTTTTTCTCCCCATTTTCTTCCTCAATCCAAACAACAGACAAACAAACATACAAACCAGAAAAGTACCTATAACTCTTTAGACTTTGCACCTGGGCTCAGGAATTCCCTTATCTTATTACCAATACGTATCCTGATTTAACAGTTGCCAATCTGTAGCTCTAAGCGATCTCTCTCAAATCCTATGAAAACAAACCATTAAACTCATCCCTTTTTTAAATGTTGTCACTGTTTACATGGAGAATTTTGCATAATTGATTCAAGTAACATCTTGGCTTGATTCCTTTAGAGATTTTTGAGGAGGCTATTGTCAGCTGATGTCAAGGTATCAAAAAAAGGGGGGGAGGGGAAAGGATGTGATCCCAAGCAGAGGTAGGAAAGGGTGTGTCTCATTAGCAAATCTCTTTGTAGTGAGAAGAGGATAAGACTCCAACAGGAGCTGTCTTCTATGGGGACAGGGCTGATTTGATACCTGGAGGAACAACCTCTGGGAGATGCCTAGACTTGCTGATGCCATCGCCTCCTTGGAAATGTAGGTCTCACTCCATTCTTAACTCCCTTGCTTCCTGGGCAATGTTGAGCTTTCTCTAATCAGGTTCAGAAAGCCTAGCACTGAGGCTTTTTCTCCAGAGACATCCAAGTCAACATGAACTGAGCTGGTGTTTAGGAAATGAAGGTTCTAGGCACCAGTTCTCCAAGGTGAAGTACTTGTATATCTCCCAAACCTATGACCTTCAAAGCATGTCTTCTCTTCAGGCATTGGGTGTGTGTGTGTGGTAGGGGCATGTGGCTGGGATATGCACCACTGGAGACCTGAGCTCTTATGTTTGTATTTGCCTAGAGCACTTGGCTGGGCTGAAATCAGGTCTTCCCTGAGAGGGTCGCCCTGATTTGTGTGAGACTGTATGTGGAGTTCCACGTCCCACTTGGCTCAGATGCCAGCCACTCAACTTGAAACTCCTCCCCAGCTGCTGCCACGGAGTCTTCCTGGTGGGAGCCCAGCTTCCCTGGGAGCCCTCTGGCCCTTTCTTAACTTTTGAGCTTGGGCTTCTGGAAGGCAGGACCTATGTGTCACTGGGACTGGGAAGCACTTTACCTGTGGACACCATGCTTGGCCCCTGCCAAGCTGTCAGCTCTAAAGTCAGGCACTGTGACTCTTGCTTTTAACTGGTGGTCCTGGACCCTGCCTGCCCTTACTGGGATTCTTGTGAGAAATGAGGCCAGGAAATATGTGTATTTCGTGGGGTCTTTTGGCCTTGTGTAGGGTATAGGAAAGGGGAGGCATATGGCTTTTAGAGCAGCAGTCTAGGGTCTGGCAAGAGGCAGGTAGGGGCCTCTTGTTCAGTCTCATCTTTCTCTACAGACCTGGATCGCCCACTGTGGATACAGTCCCTGAGGAGAACAATGCTGGGCGTCTGGGGATCAAAGGTTTGATGCAAAGTTCAACAGCCTGGGAGCCCAGTGGTGGGTCTAACTGCTTTCTCTGGCCTTCTCTTGGGCTTTCCTCCCCCCAAATCTGGACTGATTACCATGCAGAATCTCTTCTGCCTGTAGAGGTAAAATTGGAGACTTCACCCCCTTCTGCCAGACCGAGAGCATGGTTTTGTACCCTGCAGTCAGACTCACCAGCCTGGCACTCCCTGCTCTTGGGAATACCCTGCATCTGGCTTTCAGGGAAAGGACCTCTGGAAATAGTGTGACTCTTGAGGACAGGATGGGGCATGAGTGAACTGGGGTGGGGGGGTCCTCCCCTCCTTTCTCCCTCCTGCTCAGCCCATGACTCAGGGGTGACATAAGCCCCTGGCAGACTGTGAGGGCACATTCTCAGTGGGGGTGCCCAGATA